TATCATCATATATCATTATCATCATATATCATTTTAATACAACATTATCATGTGAGCTGTCTACCACACAGCTTAACCCTCTGAACATGAACTGTAATCCTAGTAAAGAATCCAGATTTTTCTCGGGTAGAGTAATGTACTTACAGTTGGAACTGGCAATAATCCTTTAACTCTTAAATTTGAATAATAAAAGATGCATGGAAAGAAAAATCTGTCATTTATTGAGCTGCCGGCCATTTAGGATTTTGATGTTGCGRGACCGGCAGGCCGCCGTGCTGGTTGAGATTTTTCTCGAATACAAAAATGTTTCTACAGTACCATGAAAGTTTCAGAAATGTTGATTGTGTTGCTTTAACTCTTTAAATAAGAATAATAAAAGAGAAATCTGTTATTTTATGGGCTGCCGGCCATTTAGGATTTCGTTGTTGCGTGGCCGCCAGTCGACGGCATAAGTGCAACGAATTTCGGCGAGACGTTTATGTAAGTTTTAACACACTCATTTTACTCGTAGAGTTTTATTTTCGAGTTTGGAAGCTCGTTTAGATAATAAGAGAGTGAAAAAACACATTTTATGGGCTGCCGGCCATTTAGCATTTTCAAGACCTTGACCGGTAACCAGCCATATAGACACAGCGATTTTTATAACTTTGCAATAATTGATGTATACGATTTCTAAATAATGGGAAGGGTGTGGTGTGCATCTTTTGCTTTCTCTTGAATATTTTTGCATCTAGACTGTTCGTCGGAATTAATTTTGGAGCGAGCCCAGGAAGTAATGTCAAACCTTTTGAAATAAACTTCCGCCTACCTGCAATTAGACTTGGGGTTCCTTTGTAGCCACTGAATAAAGGGAAAAACACACTCCTTTTGCCTCTTGATTGATACCTTTTCCATTGTCAAAGAACAATTAAAAACTGGATTTTCGTGAACACCAATGCCGATGAACATGGTTTCGTTTGCACTACAAAGTTTAGAAAAATAACATGATAATGAAGTCAACCGAGTTTGATTATGCAATGATAGTCAGCTGAATAATTCCGATATTGAAATCAGTTATCATGGAATAGTTTTACTTACACATGCCAGGTCGTGTTACCATTAGTGTTACCCTCGGGGAAGCCAAGAATAGCTACAAAACAGAGAAACGTCGTAACTAATTTTTTTTATAATTTGAAAATGACCCCAAAATGATAAAACCACATGCAAAACATCGTTAACCGCGATTAAGCCATTAGTCCATATGGCATTTCTTATCATCCAACTTGTTTAAAAAAAATAATGTTAAAAAAAGAAGAAGAAAAAAAGAAAACGCACAGTTATATTTATTACTGCGACGTTTCGGTGTCGTTATGAGGCCATTATCATCATTATCAAGCAAATGTTCGTTATTATAATCATGACGACACRGAAACGTCGCAGTAATAACAGGAAAACTGTGAGTTTTCTTTCTTTATCTTTCATCCATCTGTGTGGAATCAGGCATATTTTTAAGCAGTTCCGTGTAATTAATTTTCTGTGGATCGCGAAAAAAAGTTAACCGCATCCTCACAAAATCCTGTAATCTTGACCCGCAAAATCTTCCGAGACTTAAAAGTATTCAAATTACTTTAATTCAAATGTAATGCTTTAMTAGTCAGAAAATCCTTTGATATTTGAAAAAAGCATTATTTGGCATGAAACATGTATGACTATCTTTTGCCTTAAGGGCTGTTCACAAGTCATACTAATAACATTGAAATTAAGAAATACACAGTCCGCACTAATCAGTCAGCTCAAAAACCACACCTTACATGAACGCGCAAATTTTATCTGTTTCAATCCAACAACCTCTCTAGCCGATTAATAACATCAAAGGGCACTATAAGTTTGATTCTAGACAGCAATGTCAACAACAGTAATGAACTGAAAACAGTTTCAGAAACTGATGTTGAAATTCATGTTGCGGCATTTCTGCTTGAAGAAAGTCTGTTGCTTTCAAGAGGTGTAAAGGGTAATATCAGTAATAAGTACTTTGAAAAAATCAAAACCGAATAATTTTACCGTATATATTTTTCCTAGTTTTGATCCTTGATCGGCTTTACACAGTAGAATGCAGAACAGACGCTAAAAAGGGAGACGTCAGGGAATAGGCGGACATGCTAGGGCGCGACAAATAACTCTGATCTTACAGAATATATGATGAACAGAATATATGTCATATATCAAATTGATTAATTACCTAAAAATATCATCAGATAGAATGAAGCCTTCATTTTAACGATTCGATATCGGTCTGCTCAACTAGATCTTCTCACCTTCGCTCTGCAACAACAAACTGACTCAGCTGTAAACCCACACTAAACTACAGGTAACGAACAATGGTTTCATGCCAAGAGATTATAGCATGGGGTTTACCACATAATGTATGTGGGGAGAGATAAATGTAATGATTCTTGATTTAGAAGTTTAGTAAATACACATATTCCTCTGAACCAGTCGGTGCAGTGAATGTCTCCTTGCAAGCCTAAAGTAAAAACACTAGGTGGGATTTATGAAAGTTTTTTTAACTAATTATTCATAAATTTCATGAGTTGAGAAGCCGCAGGTGCCGAGATCTGTCCTTCATCCAAATGAAATCTGGTGCATGTCGCAGAAGTAGAGAAGCTGGAAAATTGATTTTCTTCAGTGAAGTCCACTTGTTCGATCCCGTCGAAAGGTTATWMTTTGAGACACTCCCTCGAACTTCAATACAATCCAGTCTATCTTGAAACATTACCTCTTRCAAAGGTATTTGACAGAAAGAATTAATCCTAGGAAAGATCTGTCTTGAACAAAAGGGAAACAAAGCACACTGTCAGACGTAACAATCAACTTATAGTCCCTTTATAGTCRCTTTTAGGGGTTAAATCTCTCACTACCACGCAAATCACCTAACAAAACGCAAATCACCTAACAAAACAGGTCCTGTTTAAAGGTCCCTTTCGGAATTAATTTCCGACGAGGAATTCTGCCACCTCTTAATAGGGCCGTTTACTTGCAGCTTTTTTAGTAATACAACAACGATGGAAAGACTKTCTCCCGATTTTTTCCACTAATCAAAGACAAACAATGAAATTTATAGAAAGACAATGGTTGAGGTAAATTAAAGTGGCGGGAAACAGGTTTATTAAGGTCGTTGTTACGGATATTATAAAGYTGTTCACGGATACGATTGGCAAGACGACGGGCAYTTTCACCGGCATATAATTAATACAATTAATGACCTAGCAACACGGTACAAGTTTTAAAATTGCACAAATCGGTGTGAGAAATACACAATCTGAAATGGCAAATTTGAATTAACAAGAAGCACGTCGTGGAACATACCGTGTCCAGGTTACGCTAATATATACTTTTACCAGCGCCGCGATCGATTTGATAGATTTTGCGTATGATCTTTTAACATCATTTTTTTAATATGTTTATCATTGCAGCAAAAATGTAGCATTCAGATTGCATTCGCATTATCCTCAGAGAATTTATAAGATGAAACTTTGCTTTGCATAAAATGATTTTAGAAAAAAAAGAGCGAGTATATTTTAAAGTTAAWGAAAGAAAGAAAAAATGTGTAGAAGCTGCTCGAGTCGAGAATCGAGTTCAACGCCGCTATTCAAGTATGATCTTGCCTGTAAAATATGTAAAACAAATATTTACAGAAAAATAAGAATAAGTATGTTTCAGTAAAAAACAAACACTTATATTTCAGTTAAAAATAGAAAGAAAGAATAAAAAACAATAATTTTTCAGAATTGCTCCAGTRGAGGATCGAACCTCGGCACTCTGGATTATGGGTCCCTTGGGATTGCTAAACTGTGGAAAAAATAAAAAAATAAAGTCGCTGCATTTTAGAACCGTGCCGCAGGTCTTCGGCCGGGACACGGTAATTAAAAAGCAGAGTTTGGTGGAAATCGTGAAAAAATTATAGCCATTCAAACTATTTTATTCAAATGTACATTTTAAGATTTTGGGAACATTTTWGAACAGCTTCAAGTTCTGAGAGATCGTGTCTAAAAGGACATACGAGTGACCAAAAAAGTAATAAAATATGTCATATTTATATAGAAATTGTTATGCTTGTGTTATGTATTTTCAGTGTGTTTTGTTCTTAAATATTTTAATTCGTATCTTAAGGAAAGAAGAAAAACCTCGGATTAGATGTTTGCCTATAAAATTAAAAGTTGTATTTTCTACCATCTTTTCGAAATATCAATAACTTACGGACACAGTTTTTTTGGTTACTGCCAAATTATTTGCTTTGTTTTTTATTTTTATTGTTTTTACAAAACAATATTATTGCGTTACTTCAATCGCTATTTCAATCGACAGCAACAAGAAACACAAGAAACTTAAAAGTCACATTCTGACCCAGCAGAAATGTAGATCTTATTTTGATTCTTCATAAAAGCTTTCAAATAAAATCATGTATCATGTACAAAGTTAATAATTGACTCGAAAAACGCGGAAACAATGGAGCATTTTGTATTTTTGATATTATATCAATTATTTTGTATTGTTTAATGAATGATTAATTATTTTTTCACTCGTGGTCACTCGTYGTCATTCGTGGTCACTCGTGGTCATTCGTGGTCATTCGTGGTCATTTGTGGTCATTCGTGGTCACTCGTGGTCATTCGTGGTCATTCGTGGTCACTCGTGGTCATTCGTGGTCATTTGTGGTCATTTGTGGTCATTCGTGGTCACTCGTGGTCATTCGTGGTCATTCGTGGTCACTCGTGGTCATTCGTGGTCATTCGTGGTCATTCGTGGTCACTCGTGGTCACTGATAGTCATCTGAACTAATCCAAACTGATCTGTTCTGAAACTCCACACGAGTGTGACCACGAGTGACCACGAATGACCACGAGTGACCACGAGTGACCACGAATGACCACGAGTGACCACGAGTTACAAATGAGCGACCACGAATGACCACGAGTYAAAAAAATAACAATAATAGCGAAAAATAAAGTAATTATGATCAAGTTACACCTAGTTGAACCGTCCAATAAAATATAATAGCATTTCTTACGGAAATTACTCTATAWCTTGTATAAGTAMTACTTGCTGGTACATCAATCAATCATTTTTGTTTCGTTTATTTGTTTATTCGTTTGATCGATTCGGTTCAGTGACGTTTAGTGSCGGATTTAGGGGAGGGACCTTGGGGGACCTTGAGTCACAAATGAGCGACCACGACTGAACACGAGTTATATAAATGAACATTAAAATAAAAAAAAAATATCTAAAAATCCTATCCCTCATAGGGATAGTTTATTAACCAATAACTATTAAGCTAAGTTATACATATGTCTATATTATCATTATTGTCTAATGAACGCATGCCGTCAAGGCAATGGAAACACGAACGATATATAATAAACAAATGTTAGAAATGAAGCCGTTAGAGGAAAGCAGGCACGCCACTATAAATATACCCAGCACGGTATACATAGAAAATTCTTCTTTTTGTCCCACGAATAGAAAYAGCACATTTGATGCATGGCTTTGATCCATGATCCTACCATTAAGCAAGAATACCAAAGGGATCCCGAGATGGAAAGAGAGCTAACCATTTTTTATTTGTAAAAAAATGGCGAATTAATTCCAACTTTAAATACAAAATTCATTCATTTAAGCGTCCATTAATCCTTCATTTATTCGTTTTCGCAACGACTCTCTATAACTTTTCATTTTCAAAGCTTGAATTAAATCTTAACTTTCWAACATGTTGAATTGAATAAAACAGCTATACAAAATAAACATCAAAATCAAATGAGGCAATGCTCATTTGCTGCCCATTTGGTGAACCCCATCTGCACCCGACCAAATAATGGATTTTTTTTCCTCATATGGCTACTGATTATTACAAATTGCCCACTAAAATTAGCTAATTAATTAGGAAACTAGCTAATTCAATTGTTATTTTTTTTATTTTAGAAAATTTATTTGTTTAGAAAACATGTACGTTCCCCCAAGGTCCCTCCCCTYAAGGAACGTCCTTCCCCTAAATCCGCCACTGAACGTCACTGAACCGAATCGATCAAACGAATAAACAAARAAACGAAACAAAAATGATTGATTGATGTACCAGCAAGTAATACTTATACAAGACATAGAATAATTGCCGTAAGAAATGCTATTATATTTTATTGGACGGTTCAACTAGGTGTTACTTGATCATAATTACTTTATTTTTCGCTATTATTGTTATTTTTTTTACTCGTGGTCATTCGTGGTCGCTCATTTGTGACTCGTGGTCACTCGTGGTCATTCGTGGTCACTCGTGGTCACTCGTGGTCATTCGTGGTCACTCGTGGTCACACTCGTGTGGAGTTTTAGAACAGATCTTAAACTTGGCGATTTTTACAATTTTTAAACTCGAATCCAGCCTCCTGCTCGGGCATGAAACCTGGCAATTCCCCTCCCTTTTCAGGGGCGGATCCAGGGGGTGGATTGGGTGGCTAGGCAACCCCTCTTTTATTTTAAAAAAATATAAAGACTTAAAGTTTTGAAAAAATAAATAAAATAACAGGATTATCGTATAACGGAAAATATGTATAATTACTTCGAAAAAAATATAGAGTGAGAAGAACTGTTTGATGTAACTGATGTTTATATATTCATATATATCTTTGATATAAACGTTTGTCGAAAAGTCCGAAATATTATAGGTGTGCCCGAGAAAAAGATAATTTCACATGAGACTAAAGAGTGAAATTAATTGTAATGTACTTAATATTTTAATATTAGCTTCCTCTGAAAAATCCTGGACACGCCCCTGCTTTCCCTGTAGGATGTTCCATAGTTTAGGAGCAGAAATTGAAAAAGATCTTTCATCATAGTACTGAGTGTTAGGACAATAGTTTGACTGTAGTAGAGACTTTGTAGGAGAGCGTAGTGTAGGTTTGTAAGGTTTGATGAGATCAAACAGGTATAACGGAGCTTGGTTATGGAGGCATTTATAGGTGAGTAGTAGGATCTTGAATTCAAGCCTAGCATGTATCGGCAACCAGTGGAGATCGTGAAGGACTGCAGTAATGTGGTCTCTTTTTTTGGCACCTGTAATCAACCTTGCAGCAGTGTTCTGTATTCTCTGAAGTTTTGAAAGTTCAGAAAATGGTAATCCAAACAGTAGGCTGTTGCAATAATCGAGGTGTTAATATAGGGTTAGGAAATAGTATGTATACGCGCCGGGTTCGAATCTTCATACTTCCCGTTAAATATTTCTTTAAAGTTTAGTTTAGTCTCTCATTTTTTTAAAAAAGTTGACCATCGGTGACCCTGTATGGAGTCGTACGACATATCCTTATAAAAATATATGTGATCGAATGTCTCATCTTTTCTAACGTGTTTCTTCCAGTACGTTTGAAGATGAAGTCCACGCTGTGCGTTTCTTCTGCTTTATCATTCCTTTTGGCATCAACTATTAAAATCGCCAATATTTGTCCGCTTTCGACGATCTCCTTTTGTTTGTTTTAAGATGTAAAAGAATGTCTTCTTTTTTTCTTTCATTTGACCGGGATATCACCTTACTCAATAATTTCAAGTCTCGTTCCAAGGCCTCCTCGTCCTTTTTATGCAGCCATGTTTTAAAAGCCTCGCTTGATCTCTCGCAAGTGTTTCCATGAGAAATGCTTATGGCGGTGGGGATGGACAACTTTCTCTCGGTCTTGGGCGAAATGAGTACTGGACTACCAAGAGATAATCTTCTGTCTTTTTCTTTTGGAATAGACAAAGAASCTTTTCGTTTTTGCTCATTTTTGTTCACAAGCCATTGCTGAAATGTGATATGTCTTGGTGTATTTTCTTCTTTGCTGGATTCACTACATACTCTTGTTCTTTCTCTGTCTCTGTTCAAGAGTCTAGTGTTTGGTGTATAAGATGTTGAGAAGGATCTTTGTCGAGCTGTAGTAATCAATCTGCAAAATAATTTTAATATTTGAATTTCTTGACAAGTACAATCAAAACATCCGCAATAAAAATAAACATCTAAATATGTTGTCATATAGAAATAGAACATCTGAACATAATCAAAACGGAATTTATTAAGAAAGAAACTTGAAGAACTGATCGCTTTCTTTTGTATTCCTTTTTACGTACAAATGATCTATGTCTATGTAAACGGTTAGGTGTGGGGGGCTCCTTTGTGGAATATTGACATAATTTTAGCATCAAAATAAAACATCTATACATCATCTTTATGGTCAGTGAAGCCTTTAGAGCGGCGATCTACTGACCAACGACCAATCAGTCTAAACCCCKTAGTGTGATGAAAAAAATAACAACAAACAAACACAAAACGGCATACCTGCCATCATTACTATCCAAGTATTTGATATTTGTCACTCTTCTCCTTTCAGGAACAGGACTTGCTGGGGGCTTTGGGGCTAGTAAGTCTCTTACAGTCACACCAGTGACGTCAGTAGTCGTTTCTTTGACTGCTGACGATTCTACGTCATGATTTGAGAAATGTGGCAAAACATGGAAAGAAGGAAGACCCATCTTACGACGCCTAGATGACTGAAGATTGTTTTTATTTGAATCAGTGCAATTATTTTTTGCTCTTAATTCGATTTCCGTAAGGTTGCTCAAATCAACTGTCGCTGCTTGTCGACCGTCATACAAATGTAACGCGGTATGGCCTTTGTCGCTCGTCATTTCTGAGAAGTCCTTGCTATTCTCATCATTTCTAACAGAATCCGGTGATTGTTGCCGCAGCAACTCCTCTTTAGGATTACTTTTAGTGCTTGCAGTGACTTTACAGGATGCCAATATTTCCTCTGAATCATTGTGAGAAGTATGGGAACTTTCATCATTCGTCTCATCGATGGAACTTTCGTCTTCAGTTTGATTCTTTTCTTCATCAGAACTCCCAGAACGTTCGTGATTGTGATTGGTCAAATATTGTTCTTCTTGTACTGTCGAGCTTTGTTTAGTCATCATATAGTATGCATTTAACATGTCAGCAACGTCCTTCATGTCTTTTGCCATAGACAGAGGAGTCTCTCCGTTGACATCTTTCTTGTTGATCAGTCTCCCGCCACCATGCATCAATATATTAACGATGCAGTTTTTATCTCCGCCATGAACGGCTGCGTGAAGAATGTTGCGTTTTGATAGTTTTGTGGTCTTTTCGATGCTTTTATTGCACGGTAAAATACCAAACAAAAGCGCGCTGTTGGAGTGACGCGCAGCTACAAAACTCGCTACAAAGATTCTTTCCTCTTGCGTTAAAACCTGCATCTTTACTCTAGAACGCCTACGAACAACATGATAATTTTCTGATTTCGTACAAGTTTTTATGAAATGCTCCCATTCTGGAGATAACTTCACCACAATGTTTTCGCTTGTTAATCCATTGTTTGTTTGGAAAATAGACGAAACACAGTCATTTACAGGACTTCCATTGTGATACAAATTGAGCAAGTCTGCTGGGATACCACTAGAGAGCTCAATTTGACATTTCAGGTCCTCTAGAGTCGAGGCGTCAATTTTAACCTCGAAATCTTTACATCCAACAAGTTGAACAAATTTTACGTTGAATCCTACTGTTTCTTGAGGGTAAACTTGCTTGCTTGTCATTGGATTAAAGTCAGTCACATGACAATTATCATGAACGATTACAGTACACTTGTTGTTTCACTGCAAGTCTTTCGATAACGAAATCTTTCGTAAAAAGTCTTGTTTTCTGGATCCCACGCAATAAACATCGMCTTAAGATGACAGTTTGTGACGTAGATGGGTAAACGCATTTCCTTTGGAGTTATATTGTTTTTAGCGATCACAAAGAAAACGCTGAAGTGTCCATTCAATTGGTGCAACAGAATGTCACAATTTAATTAATAGAGCTATGAATAACTTACTGTGGTGACACACCACTTTTATCGTGATTTATTCCTGTGTCGAAGTTTTATTTGAGAAAACCTACAGCTTTTTATAGTGAAAATGGCCTACTGACGACAATCAAATCTTCTAAGTAGGGATGCCCCTATATAAATAATGTGCAATCGACTGCATGACGTGAACTGCGTTTATGGGGTCTTTATGCTTAAGAACTATTTTTAAAAGATAGTCTGAAAGTTGTGATTTATCTACCATGACGTCATGGGAAGAGATAATACAAACATTCGGCATTGTTTTATGTTGATAAAAAGTGAATTGTCTTCTACCATGTAAACAAAATACACATGTACATCACTCAATTAAAGCGTTCAATAGCACGTTTTACAAATAGTGTGCACACTCGTTGACATTTTGCATAAACAGGCGGCCCAAAGAAGCGAAGGGACCAGTGGCTACTACTGAATGATTATGCAACTATGGCAACTAGGTCAAACATTTCGTTGTATAGTCCTTTGGTATGAAATGAATCATTGACAGAAAAGCATTTAATAGAAAATCAAAACGCTCCATTGTCTCTAACCACTATATAATGCAAGGGATTGAAAGGTACCGTCACAGGGAATCCACAATCTTGTAAAGCACGGCGCTATAAAGCAAAGCGCTCGTTTTATTTATTTTTTTCCTCGTCTATTTCAGGACTTTTATTTACTCTTTCACCGTCTTTACGGCTATGATGTTCATCTGTTTCAAGACAGAGTCCTGGTGCTTTAGGGCAACATGACTGAAGGCTATATTCGACGCTTTCCTTGGAATTGACGAAATAAGAAAATATTATTATCGTAAAGCATAGGCCTTTTCTGAGTGATAGCATTTTACTTTGCATTGTGTGGTCTAGATTCGGTACAAACATRTTTTGTTTGTGCTGCCAAATATGGCYTTGTTTATACTGAAGCTAGACCACAATTGGACCATGATTTTGTATTTCATGAAAGATCTTTATGGAAGGCTTAGCGTTAGGTAAGGCAAACTGTAGAATAAAGAATTTCGTGTTTCAGCGAATTGCGACTAAGAGCGTATACACAATAAACTAAGAATTGATATAAAAATAACTATGATATAAAAATTAACAAGTAGAAATGGTCCCATGTGGATTCATCTTGATTGCGTTCTGGCTCATTGATACTGGCAAATTGTCTCTAAATCTATTTTTTAGTAGTCTCCCCTCGAAGGTGTTATGCGTTATGGAGAGAGGCCTGGGAACGAGCCTTATATCGGCTACGAAAGGACGCGGAGACTAATTTGTTAGTATTAAGTTTGGTTTTATTTCGTGCTTTTTTCTGCGTTTGCTTTTTAAACAAATAATCTTTTATTTATTACATATTACTGACTTTGTTGAGTTCAAGCTATATTCATTGTTCACTTTTAAGTTGATATCTTTACGCCAGTACCGGTCAGCGGTACCTAATGTTTTACTCACGTGACCGACTRTCGGTCGGCCATCTTTGTTGATTGTCTCACTCGTGTACTTCGCAGAGMTTATATTRAGTTATAATTTCGCTATTAAAGTTTCCCTGGTTCTGTGTATTGGCTTTTCACTTATTACTAACTGGCGTTAACATTTATTTCGAAATCAATTTCGTTAGCACTATGAAGTACAAGAAATAAAGTAATGTAAAGTTGCAATTGCAGTGGGCGAAAAGTGCACTTGGAAATAAATTTGAAAGCAATTACATTAATTTAATTTAATTATATTTCCAAGGTTCTTTTCGTCCTCCTTTCTAGGCATTACAMCTTGAATTTCTTTTCATTTAATGGACAGAATCTTATTGACGTTAATTCAACGAGTGACTGAATTTGTGAACTAGAATTTATTATAAACGTTCATAAAATTCCATTTGGTTTCATTAAATCAAAATTCAATTGTAACTTTCTTTAAAAATCAACTTTGAGGTTAGTCTTTATAAATTGTAAACAAACACGAAAATCATGGAATCAAAGCTTATAAAACGTCCTCAGCTGTCGCGCATGCGAATTTTTTTAGGCCATTCGATGTAAACTATTTTTATCAATAATCACAACTACGCCACCACTTGGTTTCACAAGTTAGGAATGTCTGTCACTATTTGTTGTTTAAACTGCTAAACCTTTCTCGTGAAATCTTGCTGTTATTTTTCCGCGTTGGACAACTTCTTGTACGACTGACACTGACTTTCTGATAATTCGTCTTTCTCAGTTCATCTTCTTCTTCCCACTGGATTTTCATTTTTTCCAACTTATGTTTTGCTTCACCAAGCAGTTTTTCTTCGGCTTCAAGAGCGCTTAACTCCTTGGCTTGCAACCAAGATTGATACTTTTGATGAGACATTCTTCTTCTTCTCATTTTATTTTCCTCTTCGTTTTTCTGTGCTTCTTCTTTTTCTTTTTCTTTATCTTTGCCTTTTTTACTTTCTGTGTGTTTTTCTTCCAGCCATTCTTCAAATGATTTCCCTCTTTTTCCACTTAACTGTTCTTCCTCTAGAACCGCATCAAGTTGAGATTCAGCATGTTGTTTTCGCAGGACATCAAGGTCTTTGTCGTTCAACCACTGGACAAACGATCTTCTCCTATTCCCACTCGGAGACTGCGGAGCATTAAGTTGACGTTCTTGGGTAGGAGGAAGATTGTCTTGTCTTCTGGCTGCAATCCATGCATTCCATGGCAGCTCGATGCGTTCTTCTCCTGCATCCATGGTTTTGTGAAATGCACCAAGAGATTCACGTAACGTCACCTCGCAAATTGACCTAAACCACGGATATATATATATGATTAGCTGTGACAAAAAAGAAGCTCTTGCTGAGATATCGGTAATATATGTAGAATAATATAACATCATTTCGTTTGTCCGCATACTGTAAACTCACATGTACGTAAAAATCTGCTATATGGTGGCCTACCGCGATAAGATTTAAATATGCAGAAGAAGATTAAACAATTACCAAATGTCGTTGACCGCATTTAACCTTTAGCTCTGTCAGGTATTAAACACGGACTGACACGGAAATCGTTGATGATTGTATTGATACTACTGTGAGCACTTACCAAACACTTGAAACTACTGATGAGACGCCCTGATTGATTGGAGTTTAGCTTTCTCAAAAACACGGCAAAGAAAAAATGTGCAGATTGATTGTTTTGATTTGATTGACAGTCTAATTACATGGAAAACACACCAACCAGCAAATGTAATCCTTTGGCTTATGTTAACAGAAATGTGTTAATGTCGGTTATTTTTGATAATTTCCGATTATCTTATCAGTCTTATACTAATATCAAAATGCACAAAATAAGATCGGGATTAAAATACTTAAATTAAAAAGCTGCATTTCTGGGAAGTGGCCTAAACAGTTTCTTGTATAAATGTCAGTTAACAAATGGTACTACTAAGGCCTTAGAAACTGGAGGATAATTCTGAAGAAAAGTAAAACAAGACTTAACTCTTCACACAAAAAATGCCATGCACATTTTCTGCTTACAAAACTCATTTTCACAGTAAAGAGAATATGCTTTTTTCCTGAAATAAGATTCTTGGAATGTAGTGGTAAGAAACTGACCCTTTTAGCGATATTTTTCACACTATTTATCCTCAAATGTATATTCTTTTATTCAGAATGCAAGAGATCTGCTAGTATAGACGATAATAAAAATAGTTTGAAATCTCACGAGTTTTTTTATATACGAGTTTTGTATATAAATTTCTGCATATTTTACGTACATTGAAGGTTAAAAGATCACGAAACTCAACTGCAATGACTCGAGAAAGTTCCTACTTCTTGTCTATAGGAGGTTTTTAATTTCCAAATTTTACATTAACAGGTTCTTAATTTTCAGGTTTGTTTTTTTGTGAGTTTTACTCTTAGTTTCTTCTGATCTGGGCCAGTTCCGTAGTTCTTGGCAATTAGATTATTTTGAACTTCCAGTAAAACAGCCGTGATCGGAATCATGAGGTCCTTTAAAAGGGGTCATGACTTGTGACGCCATTGTTAATAACCTCTACAAACCGGATTGTTTATTTACGAAATGCTTTTTGCTTATACATCTTCCAAAAACAGATTAAAGTGTCCATTCTATTCTGCGGAGGTCTAGTTGTCATGTTTTGTCATTCTGGCAACAGGGAACTCACTAAGACGAGTGACTTCTGACAGAGTCTGGTTAACAACGGTTGGCATGTACCCTGCGAACAGAGTGTTATTTACCTTACCTCAGTAAAAAATTCACGAAGGAAATATATATAGGTAAGGTAGTTCGCAGGGTAGTTGGCATGAGGATGTGTCCCTAACCCTAAGGCTATCCTAAACGACTCGCTTTCTATTTTGTTCTATATAAAGTTACCTTGACTTTTTTCTGTCAGGATTTCTGTAGATAGAAGCTCCCATTGCCAAGGACCCTCTACGGAAGTCCTTTTTGTCCCCAGAGCTCATAAACTGGTTCCGTGGGGGAGAGGGTGCGATAGCAAACCGTGTAGCCAATCCAGCAGCTCTGAACGGACGGCGACCGAATTTTGGAGAGTTCGGCGCGCTGTTGCAATACTCTATGACGTCATTGACGGGACTTGTTCGAACTGGAGAACATGGCAAACTAGTTGCTGTTTTCACGTCATAATTTGTCACTAAACTGGGAAGAGAAGTGATATTCTTTACACTGTCTTGATCATGGACCTGAATCTTAATCAGGTTAGAATTCTGTTCTTTTGGTCTCCTGAGAAAAGGCTTCCTGGTAAATGAGATGTGTTCTGGTAAGACACCTGCTGATTGATCATCAATAATACTCGGTTGAACAATAATATCGCTGTTTGTTGGTATAACATCTACTTCAACAACCGGTTCATTTGCCGCTGTATTTGTACAATCGCTTGATGCGTGATTATGTTTGTCTTCATGTACAAATCTTTCATTAACCATTGGACCGCTGTTTATTTTACGATGCCTATTTGCTTGCTTTTGGTTGGGGGAGTTTGTTATGAAATCAAGATTTACTGTCTTCTTGTTTTCTTTGATATACTCTGAAAGACGCTCAGTGATTCCTGTATGTCCTAGTTTTTGTGCTAGCTGAAGAGCGGTTTGTTTGGTTTTGTCAAGAGTTCCGAAGGATTCATAATTTCCTTTCAATAAATGTTTAACTACAATCTCGAGACACTTTAAACTACCACCCATAGCGCACGCATGCAGCAAAGTCCTCCCCGAGTCTGTAGTTGTGCACAAATCAATAGTAGTTTCAAGTGTGACCAAAAGAGATATAAGATCGTGCATCCCTCTTGAACATCCCATAAACATGGCAACAAAAACCCGTTCATCTCTCCCAACTTGTTGCATTGGCAATTGAACTCTGCGATATGTACTTTGAATGTCTTTGTTCAAAACACTACAAACACATTTATTCCACCAAATCGGTACCTGTAAGCGAATTGCATTCGTGAATATTATTTCTGTGTTTGTCAGTTCTTCATTTGTCTTGCCATTCTCTTCGAAAATCTTCACCAACTCAGCAGGTATGCCAAGACAACACTCGCAAACAATTTTCAAGTCCGCAACTGTAGCGTGGTTTTGTAGCACAATCTTTTCYCGGTTTTCATTGGGAAGTCGAATCTCTATAATCCTACTGTGTTCGTCGTGAGAAACCATCATGGTGTGAATATTATAAAAGTATGCCGCATTACTTATGGCCGTTCAATAATAATAATGGCTTTAGTTTCCTGAGYCAGGTAAATGCACGTAGTGTTGACCTTACGTGCTGACATGACGTCACSATATTAATCCAAAGGAAGCCCACGCAGCATTATTTACCCATGTTTMGTCAACTTTAACAATACTTTTATCCGGCTGTAAAGCTTGTGTTGCTGCACGAGGATAATTTTGTACTTGTCGGCAACATTTCTCTCACGTATTTTGCCCTTCCTTTTCCTTCAACYTGAATAATATTCATTGTGATTTCTGGCGGACCCTGGCGAGTCAGTTTTTCAATAGTGAACAAAAACCGACAGACGATAGATGGCGACAAACTCTTGTATTTTTATCCAGCTGGCTTCATATAAAATGTACGTCCTATCCGCCTGAATCTAACAGCATGAATATACATTACTGATAGAGCGATACACTATTCCTAGAAAAAAATAATTTCAGCAAGTTGCTTCRATAGAAGTTSGCCTACTCGATGATTGTATTAATATTTTAATTCATGAGAATCTTGGTTTGAATGAAGTGTCGATGAATGTCTGGRATTGTGTTTTGTGGAATAAAATTTTAATTGATGCGTGAAGTGTGGAGTTATCTTTGTTGGGCTTCCTATGTTAAAATAAAGGCGAGGGAAATGGTACCCATTTAAAAATAYCAATATGGCGCCGGTAAGTAAATGTTTTGTCATCATTTATTTCTGCTGTTTAAGACTATTTAAGCAGCGAATTGATGTTAAATCTGCTGTTTTTTCACGGTGTCTGTAATAGATGTTTAAAACCCCATTTTGTGTGCTGTTTTGGCGGTATTTGATCGATTTCACACATTGTGTACGTGTCCTTTGACTAGCGGCCGCAGTGATTATTTTGATTAAGTTTAATTGATGAAAACGATAATTGTGTTGATTCTTTTCAATCTTACAAGACTTGGTCACTTGATGCTTTATGTATTAATGAGTTTTATAAACAGGTATAGAAACCGTCTGCAGTTAATAAACTTAAAATACCTGTTTCATGCATTATTATATAAGTAGTGATGGTGATCAAAACTGAATCAAATAAGTAATAAGAAGTAAATTGTTTATGCAGCGATGTCACTCAAAAAATATAACTTAGTGCCTCATTGTTTGGCTCTTTTAATTGATCCCAATTGGTCAAAATATACATTTTTTCTGAGTTCTTGGTTTGAGGCAGGGCCTGTCCACCATTTTGCATTTGATGATAAATCATGGGTAATCCAGACAAGATTACTAGAAAGTGATAGTACTAGTGAGAGATGTTTTTCGTTCTATTCCATTCAGAGAAAAATGTTTTGTAGATGGAGAATCCTTAGTCCAGAACTGGACTCTCTTTCATCTTTACCCATGTGGAATTGAAAGTTATTTGAATTGATTAAATCAACAGTGAGGGGTTCTTTAGCGTGTGCATTGGATTTTTTGAATTTTTACATATACAATGTACCATAATAATTAATATCAGTGTTCTGCATGACTCAATTGGCTTAGAAATTCATAATATGAGGTTTCTCCAGTCATAGTAGCGTGTATCCATTGAGTTATTGATGTACACATGGGGTTACTTAGTCTACTCGCAGATGTGTTTAGTTTTGATCACACTGCATTACGCTTGACCTAAACTAAACGTGGCTGCGGGGAGACTAGGGGTTGCTATAGCATAGTGGCACTATGTTTTTTTTTAGTTTATCAGGTTTATCATTGAAAGACCTAAATATTCAATCTGTATACATGGTAAATGTTTTATGATCATTGTTATTTCAGCCCAAAGGAAAGCAGGCCACAAAGGGACAAAAACAAATACTTGAAGAAAATAATAATACTCTAGATTTTTACTTAAAGTTAATGATATTTGCTGAGGTATGTCATATATAAACCAATCATCATACAGCCTTTTGCACAAATTATGAGACATTTTTATACATATAAATATACCTAACCAAATATCAAAAACACCCCAGAAATTATGGTATATCTCTATTATATTTTGTCATGATTGCCTAGCATCAGGTTGTTACAGACAAAATATCAGCGACGGTATCCCATAATTTCTTGGGTGTTTTTGATATTTAGTTAGGTATATTTATATATATAAAAATGTCTCATAATTTGTGCAAAAGGCTGTATCAGTATCAGAATAATCTTTATTTTTGGCTACTGTATATCTAAACATAGGGGGCTCTAATCTTAATGAATAAGAGCCATTCTATGCATTCTTCATTTCAAAAGCTCAGCATCAACTGTAGTCTCCTCGCCTCCGTTCTTAGTGGTGGGGGACAGGGYGCATGACACTAAGAACAGCTGTGAGGAGACTATATCAACTGTTGATTACATACTAATTACATGCAATCACGAAATGAGTAAATATTGATATAATTTTTTTATTTTTTTTCGGTCCAGTATCCTAGTCATTTGTGTGCTGTGATTGGCTAGTGCGCAGTCTGGTTTTTCACAATCTGCCCGGTCCGATGGTATCCTGCAGCTAGGCTGCAAGCAAAGTTGCATAAAATACAATTAAAGAAAATAAAAATGTTATTTACCGGCTATAGGTTGGTCCGTATAGAAAAACACTGCCCTRAGTCTTTTATGAACGGACCTTGCTGCGCTCATTCTGTACTGTCAAGACCACGAGCAGTATTTTCCTATACGGGCCTCCCAGCCGGTAAATAACATATATATATGGCTCTCATTGCAGCATAGAAATCTATTATGTTTAACAATATTTGTTATTCACATAGGTTGCATTCTTTGTTTTTCGGTCAARGATATTTAGTTTTTCTTCAAGTTGGATATCTTGGGTATGTAGTTSACAATTATTACTAGAGGTGAAGTTAAATATGTGTTTTGAGGTATCACCATGTGAAAATAATAAAATYGTCCTCATTGTATTTATGGTATTAATGGCATAGATGATGATGTGGGATATTAGGGATTAAATGCCCCAGAGGTCAAGGGAAGTTAGGTTTAATTTATGCTCAATTCCTGCGCCATCTTGAAAAGTAGACGTGCCTTTGCATTGAAGAGAGACAACCATTGAGTGTGCAATGGTAGAAGCCTTCTTTAACACATACAGAAAATTATTTGCAGGTATCTATTATTACATGCTAAACAGTTGTCTTTCTTKGAATGTAAAGGCACAGCTACAGTGTACCTTTCAAGATGGCGCACGTAACTATGAAAGAGACTATTAACAATCCAGTCATGAAATTCACACCAAGAGTCCAGCAAGCATTAAGTTTTTGAGTAGTCATTTCCTCAACGGACAGCAAATATTCTTTCTTGGTTATCCAAAGAAGGGTGTATTGAGGGTGTATTCTCATGATGAAGGCCGTTTCCCAGTGCCATCATGAAGAAAACCCAGCTTTTGCATAAATCAACACATTGCAATCATGATAGCTGCTAAGTGTGAATAATTTTCCTGCCTTGCTTTGAAGCAAAGTCTTGGCTATCAAGATGATGCTTGGAAATGTGAAATGGATAATTAAGACTAGTGATCACGAGTATCTCTATATCAATTATAATATTTTGTATTGATGAATTTTCAGACAATGTTTGTATTTGCTACTGTTATRTATTTTGGATGTTACAAGTTCATGGCCTCGATGGCAGTCCCTACATATTCTGAATCCAGAGCTTTGATTGATGGAGGGATGGACTTGAATGCTGAGTCAGGGACATCAGAGTAAGTTTGCCACTGTTTTAACTTTATCTGGGATTGTATGGACATAATCATAATTATGAAGATTTTAAAGAGAAATCCTCATCTAGAAATCCTGAGATTCCAAGCTCGATTTATGTCTTTGTTATATACATGTAGTATTTGACATTTTTATGAATAGTTTAAAAAATGAGAGAGCATTTTTTACCATACTTTGTAGAATGCTTGCGAGCTGATTATCTATTTTTGCCCAGAGCCTTGTCTGCAATTGTTGAGTACATGGTTACTGAACCAAAATATCTAAAGTTGACTATTGGCGCAATAGCTTATATTGGTAATGTTTCCTTACTGTTTCAGGCATGTTAAGGATTTAATACTCCTCACAGCAATTGTGCAGTTTTTGGCAATATTTACTGATTACTTTTGGTTTTTCTTGCTGCTGGTAAGTTGTTTTATGTATATCTTTAGCAGTTGYCATGTGTCTGGAAAAATTTACTTTTGAAAATATCAAATATCTTCAGAAATGTGCATCATAACTGGTACATTTTGGATTTTTTATTTGTTTCTGAAAGTTCTTACTGWATATTATGCTTTAGCTAGTGTTGTAAGACAATATGACTATACAGCATTTATGCACACTCAACTAAACATTTTTATTTTTTTCTGCTGCGCCAAAGTAGAACCAACTTCTACTTTCTACAATAATTTTTCTAAAAATTTATGTGTGACATGGTCATGCAACTTGTCAGTCACTTAACAAATTAAAATGCAGGAACCGATCAGAAAGTGAGAATTTGCAAGCAACAAAGCTGCTCGGAATTGCTCAGAAACCGAAATATCAACAATGTCAGACAATGAGGAAAGTTATGGTGCTGAACTAGTACATAGTGCAGTAAAAAAATTATGTGTGCAACCCGCATTTGATCATTCATATTTCTTGTACAAACTAAAAAGTCTTGAGCAGGGAAATGGTGGGGCAATTGAATGTATGTTAGAAAAAATATAGACTACCAAATCACTTTCAAAAACTCATATGTATAGGCTGATTGCCGACGTTCCAGGTATGTAACTGGCTTATTTCATACTTGAAGAAGTTTTCCAAGCACTGCATTAATATTTTCATTTTTAAATAGGCAAAGAAGCCGTTTTCATATGAATTAAAAACCAAACCCTCGATTAGAAAGATTACGAAATTTACAGTATTGAAAATTCCCAACGGGAATAATTTGCATAACCAATTTTCTCGTTAGTCCCATGAGACCAATGCTAACAATACACCTTTTGTAACAAGTAACTGGACAATGTTAAATAACTGTTTTATTCCATAACTGACATCGATTAGTCAGTTAGCATAACGTGTTAAGTATAGGATTTTCAAAGCTAAGGTTGTGGGTTCGAATCTACTTGGTGTCATTTGAATTTTTCTTTCTTTCTTTCAAGTTTAAAGTTTCAGACGGAAAATTTCTAAGTTGAACGTAGTAGTTAATTAGGTATTCAAGGGCAATATACATTAGTATTCAAGGGCAATATATAGATAT